TGCTGGCTGGGGAATTCTGGGAGTTGAAGTCCACACGTCTTAAAGTGGCCAGGGTTGAGAAACGCTGTGCTAATGGCAACAAAGTGGATGGATTCACACATTTAACCAGGTTTCTCAATTAACCCATTTCTGGAGTCACATAATAGACTGAATCCCCAGCGAACTTAACAGCCTGCGTTCACACAAGACACTCAGCTGCAAAAGGAATCCTAACCAAGGTTTAGTATGTCGTGTGAATGTGTAAACTCTCCATCCTTCCCCAATTTCTTTGGAATCACTCGTTTTTCTTTTACAATAACTTTTTCAAATTAAAAAAACCAAACAGAAAGATAAAAACTAACAAGAACTAAAACCCAGGAAAAGGGAAGAAGAAAAGAAAGAATAAAGAGAGAGAAGGAGAACAGAAGGGCCGAAAGAGAAAGAGAAAAGGGACAGAAATAGAAAAAAAGAATGACTTCCGACTTCTTTTACAGCAGATATAAGTAAAACACTTATAATATAAGTAAAAGATATAAGTAAAAAATCTTAGTCTAGGATTACAGTTTAACATCAGTTTTTTCTATAATCTGTTAATTTTACTAATCATCAAATCCACATAATTTCATTTTTTTTGGTTTCCTGCAAAAAGTCCAAACGGAGGCACTTCCGTCTTTCCACCCCTGGCGATCCGTGTCTCCTCCCCGGTTTTCCAGTGCTGCTTACCTTAAAGAGGGGCGTGAGAATGATGGCCCCCGCGCTCCCAAACTCAAAGGACATCAGCAGCTGGGGGAGGACCTTGTGACGACAGAAGTCCTCGGGGAACGTATCTAGGTTGCTGCTGAGCTCTTGGAAAAACTTCTGCCGCTCAGCCGGCTCCTTAATCTGCGAGAAAAGGAGCCCCTGGATCAAATCTGCCACCCCTTTCCAGTTTGAGTAGCTCTTCGAAGGAGATGGGGATGGGGTGGCAAGCAATTAATTGGGGGTGCGAGTCGTTCTGAAGAGGAAACCAGGTCTCCAGCCAAGCTGGGACCAAGTTCTGCAGAAGGTCCTCCCACTGAGGTTCCCAAACTCCATTCCTACCTCACGGAAAGATACAGGTAGTCCTCACTTAATGACCACAATTGCAACAAGAATTTAGGTCACTAAGCAATGCAGTTGTCAAGCAAATCTGAACCCGATTTTATGACCTTTTTTGCGGCAGTCGTTAAGTGAATCACACGGTTCCCCATTGATTTTGCTTGCCAGAAACCGGCTGGGAAGGTCGCAAATGGAGATCACGTGACCCCGGGCCAGTGCAACCATCGTGTGAGCTGGTTGCTGAGCGCCCAGATTGCGATCACGTGATTGCAGGGTGCTGTGACTGTCATAACTTTGGGCACCAGTCATAAGTTACTTTTTTTAGCACTGCCATAACTTTGAACAGTTGCTAAACGAACAGTCGTTAAGTGAGGACTACCTGTACACACCTCTAAAAGACTCCCATGTTCCCCAGGGATTCCTACAACCTGTTCGATTTCTCCTGTGGGTGTATCCCTGCCAGCAAAAATACTTCATTTCTTTGTGAGCCTCAACAAAGAACTGAAGATGCTTCCTAAAATGGTATCAGGATATTTCTACCCTCCCTCTGAGGTATCTGACTTTTTGGGGCCATTAAGTGGAGTTTCACTGAAACACCCCTGAAATCCATCCCTGTTCGTTACACGCCATTCTAGGGGCATTCAATCATGTCTCCCAACAACCTGACTAGGTCATTTCCATAGCAAGTTTGGGATAGACACAGGGGGCACACCCAAGCGTCACAGGGGCCAGGACTATACTCCTGCAGCGTGCCCTCCATCTGACTGGTGAGTCTTGCCAGGCATTCAGATTCCCCATTCATCAATTTGAGGTGTGTTTAGCTGGAGTCTCAGCTGCTACTCGAGATGCTGGTGGTCGAACCGAGGCCATTCCCGCGCCAGGACTAAGACACTAGTCTTCATTATCCTAAATAAAGCTCGGATCGAATTAGGGGTATGTTCTACAGCAGTGTTTCTCAAACTTGGCCACTTTAAGATGGGTGGACTTCAACTCCCAGAATTCCCCAG